GCAATCGAATCTTATCAGCAGGCGGTGGCTCTGCGGTAGCGCGCTTGCCCAGTGTATCAGCGGTCCCGGGTTCGAATCCCGGGCGTCGCGCCTACTTTTTACGACCGAATTTATATTCGTACACTTTTTCACATCGAATCCCATTTAATACAGTGGAACTTAAAACATCAATTAATTTACAACCATCATCATAAACACAAATTGATCTACGATCAATAACTTCTTTAATTTGAAGTATAGATTTTTTTTGGGAGGGGGGGGGGATACGCGCGCGATTATCTCGCCAATCACTGTACTTTTCCATTAGCCGACGACCCGCTCCGCCCCCTCACATCAACATATTTCTCCCGATCACCCGTATGCGTCATGCTTTTTCCCGTCATTATCCACAAAAAAAAATCTATACTTCAAATTGAAGAAGTTATTGATCGTAGATCAATTTGTGTTTGATGATGGTTGTAAATTAATTGATGTTTTAAGTTCCACTGTATTAAATGGGATTCGATGTGAAAAAGTGTGAGAATATAAAATTCGGTCGTAAAATGTAGGCGCGGCGCCCGGGATCCGAACCCGGGACCGCTAACACACTGGGCAAGCGCGCTACCGCAGAGCCACAGCCGGCTGATAAGAATCGGTTGCTATACTACGTATATACGCTCGAGCGCTCAAAGCAAGACTTTCCGGAATTTTTTTGGGGGGTTTCTAGGGGGCGTTGGAAAAAACGAAAAAATACGGGTCAAATAAATTCATCCAAAGAGTTCGTATGAATTTTTTCAGCCCGATCGGAGGCGGCAGCTTGGGAAGTTCCCCTTGTAAGTCAAAAAATGACCAAGTTACAGCGTTTTGAAAATGACTTGTAGAGGGGACCCCTACGGGATTTTCAGCTTCTTTTCTGGAAAAAAAAAACAAAGAATTAAGGATTCAAGTGGTTTTATTAAATCAATTTTGCAGAATCTTACCAAGATTACTAGCATTCACTCTCCTTCACTGGATGACTGGACACTAGTTTCCTTTTCAAAATACCCTCCATCACTTGCCACACAGCGCCGCAACCGTTCTTCCCAATTCTTCAAAGATGGTTTTTTCGAATTCTTCTTGTTTAATGTTCTCTAAGAAAGCTTCAACAGCTCTTTTCATCTCGTTGATGGAGTTAAACTTCCTGCCTCTTAAGCCCTTTTTCAACGTAGGAAATAACCAAAAATCGCAGGGAGCAAGGTCCGGGCTGATATCATGTTACCAACTTCATTCGATCGCGACGATTTCTCTGTAGAATTTTTGATCAATCAAATCTTTGTTTTTTCCAGAAAAGAAGCTAAAAATCCTGGAGGGGTCACCTCTACAAGTCATTTTCAAAACACTGTAACTTGGTCATTTTTTGACTTAGAGAGCTCCGATTTGTCTTGTTCTATTGGTAATTGCTCGGTCTTTAAGACTACAAAAACCGCATTTTGATATCTGCTACCGCGTTTGTCCAAAAACAAAAAAACAATCAACTCTTTGTTTTTTTCCAAAAAAGAAGCTGAAAATCCCGTAGGGGTCCCCTCTACAAGTCATTTTCAAAACGCTGTAACTTGGTCATTTTTTGACTTAGAGAGCTCGGATTTGTCTTGTTTTACCGTTAATTGGCCGGTCTTTAAGACTACACAAACCGCATTTTGATATCTACTACCGTTCGTCAATAAGAAAAAAACGTGCAGTACTTTTGGGACAACCTATGTATATTTTGTTTTAATTATACTCTACAGTTGGCAATCGGTGATGCCAAGAAGAATTTCCCTACTTTAGTAATCGTTTTCTCTAAATGCCAGAAAATCGTTAGAAGATATAACCATAGTGCCTTGGCAAATGGGAGACTAAGGATAAATCAAAAAGCCCTCAATAAACCCCAGCATAACATGATTCAAAATGTCGTAACTAGATGAAATAGTTTTGGATGATAGAAAGATTGGCTCAGCAAAAGGAGCCTATTATGCTGGAGCTGACTGAGGCCAATGAAGATGGTCTCATCGAACAGGAATGGCATACTCTAGAGGGTCTAACTGATCTCCTGCGCCCGTTTGATGAAGCGACAACACAAATTTCCTCAGAAATGTTACCTACTTTGTCAATGGTAATCCTAGTTGCGAAAGGATTAATCCATGGTCTAGAAACATTCATAGAAGAGAGAAGAAATGGCACGACTTTTGCCAGAAGTCTTTTAAAAGCGATGAAAGTAAGATTTCCAGACTACAACTCTGACCTTTTAAATACAGAAATACTGCCATGTTTTACAACCCATTTCTTAAGACAACCCTGATGGAGGTACATATAAATATCGACAAAGTTAAGAAACTAGCTCTGGTCAAGAGGGTAGCAATACAAGATTTTACAATAGAGGATGATACACAGATGGAAAATCCAACGGAGTCAACGAGCAAAAGCAGTTTATGGTCTTCCATTCATAAAGAGATGGAGCAAAATTTAGCAGGTAAGGAATCTTCAATGTTTATACCTTAGTGGATTCACCAAACATCAAAAGCTTCTTCTGATCTGTTTAAACATGAATTGAGGGGCTTGGAGGACAAGGTGCATAGGTGCATTTTTTACTATCTTCAGAAATATATGTTTAAAGTTTCAAAATTACATGGAGGCTCAAGACGGAAAGAAAGTTCAAACTCACTTTTTGGTGCTTTGAAATTTGATTTTTGAGTTGAATTTTACATGGAATACATTTGTACAACCTGTTGTAGTTGAAATTGTTAATATCTCAATTTTTCCAAAAACTGCACTTATGCGCCTTGTTCTCCAAGCCCCTCCATTGCAGAATAATTCATGATTGAGAGGAACTTCTGGAATTTTCTTCAAATAAGTTCTAGTTATCCTAGTCGAGTTTCTAACTGCAGTGCAGAAATACGAATTCTTATAATTAATTCTCACCCTTTTACAGTTGATCTTAAGCTAAAGAGAGATCTCTACATTGTCAAAATTAATTTTTTTATGCAAGCGAGCACAGAGTTCTTGTCGTAAATTATGACTTATCACTTAGCTGACGTATGAAAGTTGAAATACTGAAAAGTTGTTCAAAATGCACTCTTTAATTTTTTCTCTCCCCACCCCCCTTCCTCGTATTTTAGATGTTATTACTGAGAATCCCAACGAAGAGATAACAAAAGAAATAGAAGCATATTTGAATGAGAAAGTAACTAGAAGTAAAGATAAAGAATCTGATCCAATGGAATGGTGGAGGTGCAATAGTGGAAAGTTTCCTTCACTGGCATCTTTAGCAAAGAACTTCTTGTGAATTCTCGCCACAAGTGTCTCATTTGAGAGGGTTTGTTCCACAGCAGGGAACACTGTTTCCATTCGGCGGCAGTGCTTGAGCCCCCTCACTGCGCCCATGTTAGTCTTTATCCATGAAAACTATGGTAAACTTTAGATTGTACCTTTCTCAGCAGTTTTGTTGAATTCTTACTGATTTTTCGATGTGCTCTATTTTGTTTGTCAATATTTTCGGATGAATAAATTTTCTCTTTGTTTCCGATGCCATTGTTTTTTTTCCCCAATAAATATAAATTTTATCTTATCTTGGAAAAAATCGAATTATAAAAATTGATGATCATATAAAATAAACAAGTTTAAAGGATCATGAAGAGAAACAATGTACTTAATAAAACTGGAAAAAAATGTATTATTATATTTTAAAAAAGCTCCGAAAAAGCTCGAGCTTGGCTCTAAAAAGTCTAAAAAAGCTCGAGCTCGGCTCGAATAAAAAAAATCAGGCTCGCACAGCCCTAGTATTTATACATAATTAAGGTGCAATGAATGTTCAGCAGGAAGAGGAGATTCTTTTTTATAAGCATCGTGTGCGAAATTACCTCCTCCCTCGAAGTTCTCAGCTTTTCTCAGACATTTTTTCAATCTACGAGGGTCATCCAAAAAGTAAGGTTCCCTAACTTGTATCTTCCAAACGAAAAAAGATAAATTAAATCGATGAAAAGACACTTATTAGGCATACTCTAAGCTTTAAAACAAGCTCAAGTTTTTGAAAATCGGTCAAGAGGTTCGCGATAAAACTTAATTTTACTGCGACAACCTCCTATCGCCGCGTGCCCACCTCCGGGGTCAGGATGCGCAGAGAGTCGATTATTTCAGACTCGGGAAGTCGCCTCTAAACATCACATCAAAAAGGACTTTAAACGTTTTCATTGAGTAGGTCTTAACTGACTTCTTGACGGAGTCTCCACATCTATTTTGACATTTCTGGTATCATTGCAGCAGCTTCTTGATGCCGTCCGCGTTAAACCTCTCGCCTTGGCTCCGAAACCAGTCATTGACAGCGATCTGCACTTCCAAATCGGTGCTTTGCGTCGGGAAATTTTCCTCCAATCCTCCATACTCTCTTAATTTAGACTTATGTGACTTTCATCCGTTCCCGAGCGGATAATTTCAACGATGAAAAGCGATTGCTAACCGATTCAGAGGTACAGACCGCTGTAAATATGACTAGTTTCAGAGCCAAGCGATAGGTTTAACGTGAACGGCATCAAGAAGCTGCTGCAATAATACCAGAAATGTCAAAATAGATGTGGAGACTACGTCAAGAAGTAAGTTGAGACCTACTCAATGAAAACTTTTAAATTCCTTTTTGATGCGATGTTTAGAGGCGACTTCCCGAGTCTGAAATAATCGACTCTCAGCGCATCCTGACTCCGGAGGTGGGCACGAGGCGATAGGAGGTTGTCGCAGTAAAATTAAGTTTTCTCGCGAACCTCTTGACCAATTTTCAAAAACTTGAGCTTGTTTTAAGGCTTAGAGTATGCCTAATAAGTGTCTTTTTATCGATTTGATTTATCTTTTTTCGTTTGGAAGATACAAGGTAGGGAACCTTACTTTTTGGATGACCCTCATATTTCTCACACTTTATCATGCTCAGGCCAAATATCTGATGGAATCAAACTTTAATAGGATGGACATGACATGGTAAGGCACAAATTTGTAATAATACTATTACTTTTTTCCAGATTTTTTAAAATTTCTGTCATTACTCTTGTCATCGCATTCATTGAAGGCTCATAATCAGGGGTGTGGAATGTCTATATTCAAGTAAATGATTGACCAGCATGGAACGGTGGTTAGAAATGTGAGAAGTCCAGAAGTATTTTCTTCTTTCTCTGGTTCGTATGGTTTTTCTTCTTTTTCAAGTACCCTCAAAGGAGTGATCCTACTATTTACAGGTACAGCCGTATCCCCCCCTTAGTCCTTAATTGAACGTATTCATACAAAAAGGAACCAAGCTCTAAATTTCCGATTTTCAGTTTTTAACGGATCTGGATTCTCCATAACATAAGTTACTCTGACATGTAAGTATGCCCCCAAAAAACTAATTTCATTCCCTGGGAACAGCGCCTGAAAAATCTTGTAACAGGGAATCTGGGATAACTAATGTAAGCAAAAGGAACTATGTGTATTTCCCTTTGATTTAATGCGCTATCTAGGATATGGAATTAAATCAAAAGGAACTATATCCGATTAATCGATGCGCGCACGGCGGAGCTTTGAGGGAACTTGGTGAAACTTGGGAACTAGGGGTATTTATGGAAGGGAAACTCGAATTTCTGGTCAAATTTTGAAAAGTCTAAAATCCAAGATATCGGACATGGCCTAAAATACTATCTTGGCTCCTCTTTGATCGATCCCAGTGAATCTTGGTACCAAGGCAGAATAAATAAGGACCCTCAACTCCAATTTAAACCTTTGTGAAAAACCGTTACCGTGCGACTCCAGCGAACCTGGCAGAGGGTGCGGTGAACTAACACCACAGCCACAGCGGTCCATGATTGTACCTATATAGTAGGTAATATTCCATGCAATGTTCAGTGTAAATTTTATGATTTATTTATTTAGATACTCTTAATACATTTTACTTACTTTAGCAAACTAATGAAATTGTATAGATACATACCCTCTGCAGAGGTCAATGCAGAAGACTTTGATTTGAAGTATCTTATCTAAATACGAGCAAATTTGATGATTCAGTCAACTTCTGGCGCAAAATCAAAGAGACGCATTAGCAAATCAAAACAAATCAAATTAAAGATAATGCTTGAAGTCAGGTATCATTGATTTTGTGACACTCAGTTGATCTTTATCAGTACAACACTATTTCTCTCCAAAAAGATTTCACTTTAACAAAGAAATGCCTTCGGCTAAAAGTACAATCCTGCACACTACATTCACACTTCCTCATGTTTTCTCAATTGCAGTTACTGCTGAGTAAAAGGGTTAGAAAAGACACTTCACATTATTACCAGTTTATAAACCCAAAGACTTGCTAAGATGAAATAAAAATGGAAAACTTTTCACTTTAAACTCTTCAGAACTTCAGATCAACCACGAGAATCTAGAAACTTCCATGAGCCCAATAGACGCTATTAGTGGCGACGTCATCATAGGGATTCTCCATTATATCGAATTGGATCCAAACAATAACATTGGCATAACCTCTTTCAATGCTACCAGTGCGAAAAAATCGATATATATCGCTTTTCTGTGACGTTGCACTAATAGCGTCTATACCCCCTAGATGACCATACCCAAAGGTTCGTTTTGAGGTTAAGATACATCTGGTTGTAACGTTTAACAGCTCTTATGGGGAAAACCTGTAAAAAGCTATTTTTGACTCCTAAAAGTAAACTTTGACGAAGGGAGAAGTTTTTCCCTTAAACTTCAAGTCTAAAGGCCTTGAATGCATTAAATTTCCATGGCCGAATATGTTTCTGGGTGGAAAATTTTTTTTTTAATATTGGAAGTACATACTACATAGGGACTGTATCCGTCAAGGGAATGGAGAGGAGGAGGGGAGGATGTAGTTATCTACTTGAATTTTCCAAATTCTCCGCCAGGAAAATGATTCAGTGGCAAATTTTCGGTACTTATGTTCCACAAATATTATACTTCCAAGATAAGATCACTTTAGGGCACCAGTCATCTGATGGTACACTTAATTTCACTTATTCACCTCGTTCCATAAGGTCCTGTGTAAAAATTCACAACCTGATGCACTAACACACTCCCAGATGAGTTCCGAATCTTTAGGTATATGAGCCCTAAGTGATAAGCCTAAGTAGGTGGTGCATGGAAACATAAACAGGAGAACCCAATCGTCAATTCAGTTCACTAGACCCTCTGCCAGGCTCCGCTGATGTCGCCGCTAACTGGAGTTGTGGATCCTTATTTATTCTCTTGGTCCATGACTAGAGGTTACTTTTGGACGGGAAACTCGAATGTCTTGTCAAAATTCGAAAACTTTAAAATCCAAGATGGTGGACATTGCCTAAAATGCAATCTTGGCTCGTTTTTGATCGATCCTAGTGAATCTTGGTACCAGGCGTTACTTTTGGACGAGAAACTCGAATTTCTAATTTTTAAAATCTAAGATGGCGGATGTGGCCTAAAGTGCAGTCTCCTTTTTAAACGCGCATCGCCGAAAAATCAATTATGTCGTCTGAGAGATCCCCTGAGTGACCGTCACATATCAACCGCGCACTCTCCATAGCGCGATCGATGTCTATGCATGGATAACGGGAAGCAAACAGAGGAGCAAATAAACCCATCGGAATTGCTCCATTTTCATTAAAATCTGTGTCAGGTACTTCGGAACAGTATTTAGAGACTCATGAATATTTAGAGCGCGCTAGGAGGAACGCATGGTCGAAAGTGTGACCGTCACTCAGGGGATCTCTCAGGCCGCATCTTGACTTCCTTGGAGATGCGAGTTAAAATGGGAGCTTAGAATACGTAATTTTGAACTTGTTTTTCGTGGGTTAATATTGTTAAAAAAAAATCGGAGAAAATTCCAGTGAGCTATGCGTACTCAATGCTTCAAAAAATGCAACAATTATAACTTACTGAATAAACTCATTGTTAAAAATTTTAAAATCCAAGGTAGCTGATGTGGCCTTAAACATTACCTCAATGTCTGAATCGTTTGTGTGGAGTTCGGTGTTCGGAGCTAAAAATGACAACAGAAACTGTTAGATAACTGCTCTTTCCGTGAGAGTTAGTATAGGAAAAAAAAAAGAAAAAAACAAGCAGTGAACTCCAACTCTAACACGATGTGTTGATGAGGCGCATCATTGACTCGTACATATCAACCTGACTAGTTTTAATTTACGAAGATTTTAGTATATATGCAATTAGGACATGAAGGGAATTCACAATCCAACGCTGCAAGGTCAACCACATGTCTCGACAAGGCGGTGCACAGTGCAGCGACCTTATGGGCAGTGCGGACAAAAGTCATAACTCGAGTTTGAAAGCACTTGGAAATCTGAAAATTGGTATACACAACAATCAGTGTATGGACTATCAACTGCCTAGGTCAAAAATTCTGGTTGAGCACTTGCGAAGGGGAAAGGAGGGGGGATTTCCTTAGCTCCGCGCGCGCGCCCGGAGTCGCCAAGATACCTACATTTATAGCCTTCTCATACGTGTAAGACGCATCTACAGATCATTTCAGAGGGTTATTTTTTAACTTGTTCAATTTTCTTGAAAGAATCCTAAAAGTATGTCCGCACAATGAATAAATGACATCAGAACACACGAAGAAATGCGGATCAAAAGTAGTCAATAAATAACTAAAAATGATTGATATAACGTTATAGTTCGGTAACGAGAATAAATTGAGGAATAGAAATTTACTCGAAAAACAAGAATAAAATGTAATGCATGACAGGAACTGAAACTATATCAGTCTCAGACAAATCCGAATAATTCAAACAAATTTATAAGAACAATATAGAAAAAATAAAGGAAATGTAAAACTTTCATAATGATAACCAGTAGTTAAATAGGTAGTAAAAATAAAATTTTATGAGCCGTAAAATCATTCATTTAGAACCTACAGCTCTGTAGGAATAACATTGGGAGTAAAAATGTCAGGATTTATTCGTAATTTCTTTTGAAGTTCATGTGCAACAAATTCCTCACCAAACAAGTAAAATTAAAATCCAAGCAAAGCATATTCAGTTTATCGGATGTATTTAGTAGTTACATTACTCCATCAATCGTTTCATATGCTTAAAATCTAGTCTGATGGTTGGAATATTCCGGCTCCTTAAAACAGCGCGCGGGAAAATTCAAATGGGCCAAGTTTGGGTACGATTCGATACGTTCAATTGTATCGAATTAGTTCCAAACGAACATTTTGACTCTTTAAATACTTCAAATGATAATAAATCGACACCTATTCAATATTTGTGATCCGGTGTGACGTTTTAATAATAACATCTACAGCCAACAACCCTAACTCTCTTCCTTAGTATGAGAGGAAGGGAGGAGAGGGAGGGAGGAAACTAAGCTTTGATCAAAATGCTGTTTAATATAATATCTACAAGGCTCTGTAGTCCATGTGGTCCCATTCTGTGCTTAAAACACATCAATACCAAACATTGATTGATAAATGAACATCTAGAGAGTCGATATTTGGTTAAATTATGAGTCGACCTACCATCAAAAAAATGTTGATATTTTGAGTTTGGGGGGGTTTCGGGCCCAACTCTTGACGGATTCTGAAACTACATAAAATTTGCGACCTTCCATGCGTTTTCTAGCGATATATATTTGTATATATTTTTGTAATATCCATTCAAAATTTGAAACCGACGAAAATGGAGGTTTTTAAGTACCTTCCAAAATACGACGGTAAAATGCCTCAAAAATGACCCAAAAAATTAAATAAAAATATATTCATGAAGGATTACTTATCCTTTTACAAGATTTATTTTCCTCTTCTTTGAAATTGCATTTGCATTAACATAAAACTATCATAACATGATGATGAGTAGTAGCGCTCCGCTCCTGCAGTTAGAGCGTCGGCGCAGGTGTCTTGTCTTCCCCCCTTTCCCCGCTCCATGTGATACATGTTTTGATAGACAAACACCTAGACTACGTCATCCGAATGTCCATCGTATCATTCCATCAAATATCTAAACCCACAATAAATGTTGAATTTTTTACTTTTGTCCATGGGTCGCAGCACTGTGCAGTGTATTGTGAACGTAGGAAGCCATTCGAAAGAGTCTAAGTTTCTTGATCGGTCAAAATAATTAAAGTTTACAAAGGCGGAAATTTTTACATGTAATCCTCATTGGCAAGATGCAGCGGGAATGGAGAT